CAATTTGATTCATGTGCTGAGCAAATAAATCCTAATAATTCCTAATGCATTTTAGTAGACAATGTGTACGGACACAAAGTGGTGCAGTGGTAAATGCAATGTAAAGCCCACTTTTATCCGGAGTCTTAGTTTCGCTCTAGGACAACCTGCCTGAAGATGGCGCTTCGTTTTTTATTTTTTCGCCCTGATGTTGCAAGTTGTTGCATGTTGATTTGTAACAGTTGTTGCATGTTGATTTGTAACAGGTCCATTGGTTTGTTCCTGGTCATTATGACAACGCCACACTTTTGAGTGTTCTTGTCACCGCCGATGAGATCAGATCAAGCCTTTCATGCACCCACCACAGTAGTTTATGAGCTGGTGGGAAAAAAACGTGCACAGCAAGCAGAGAGTAGGCCTACTGTAGGCCAGGCATCTTTTTATACCCACCTTTGATTTTCGGTATTAAGTTATTAGCCTACATTTATTTGTATGGTGACTTGAGCAATGTCTCATCCATTCAAATCAATTAGTTTGGCAATTCATTAACTAACCTAAGTTTTTTTTTTTTTTTTTTTTTTTTTTTTTTTTTTTTTTTTTTAAGTGAAATTACCTACCATCAAAGAGATGGGATGATAAAGGAATGTAGGGCCTACTGTAATCTCATTGGTTAAATAGCTTGAAAATATTATGAAAAATACAGAATAATAATTAGAATAATAATTAGGGGGGGGGAGAGGGGGGGTTCGAAAGAACCCCTCTTTTTGCCGGGTAAAAATCCCCTCAGGGAAAAAATTTATCTAGGTACACGAAGGTTTCATGGTGAAAGGTCCACTTTTTCATAAAAACAAAGAACCCCCTTTTGAAATTACTGGCTACGGGCCTGCATGATTAGGCTCCTACTACACGACACTAGTTTACTTAATAAGAAGCGCTGGGAAATGAATAAGGGTAATAGCAGTGAGACTGACTCGTTTCAAAAATAAAAAAAATAAAAAAATAATAAAAATAATTCTAAAATGAAAAATAAAAAGTAATTATATAAGCCACTTAAATTGTGATAACTTCAAAAAAGGAAATTGCGACTGTTCGCAATCTTTGAATGCGGTCTCAATTAACGATGCTTTCGCACATACTAGTCCAATATAGACAATTGCCCAGAAAATATTGTTAATGCTGGTCAGTTTGACATGATCTAGTGGACATGTTATGGATGGAAAATATTTCTCTTTATTTCCCCCTCAAATAGACCTATTTTTAAATAATTTAAAATTTTAGATTCTAATAAGTTCTTTCGCTAATTAGTTTCTAATTATAAAATGGGATACAGTTGTAGGCAATCATCATTAACTTTGAATTATATATGGACTCTATCTTATCATTTAATCTTGTACGATATGCACAGTGTATAACTTAATTGAGATATCCTAAGCAGTTGATGTTGCGATGACAGCGGGTACAACAACAACTTGATAATATTCCCTATGGACCGCCCACATTTCTACCTCTCACTTCCCCCTTCTCAACCTCTCTCTCTCTCTCTCTCTCTCTCTCTCTCTCTCGTGAAAAGTAATCAAACAACTTTTGAACGGAAGAGAGGTTTTAAATAATAAATGGCCGGTGCTAACAAGGCCGTTTATCGGATGTAACCATCGATTGCGCCACAGTTTACTCTCCCTTATGCAATGTGACAAACCCAGGCCGATTAAAATTCATCGATTGTGTACGGTTATGATTCCCACAGGTATAAAAAATAGAAAACGGGTCGCACGCAAATGCGCATGTATTCCCATTGCAATTAATGTCGATTGCATAAGTTCAATGTTTAATGGTCTTTTGTGTTATAAGCCGATCTCACTTATGTTCCAAAATGCAAAATGCAGTTGACGCAAATTGACTCTCTTTCTCTCTTCAGTCAATATTTTTATTTGATTCATTTTATAAACCTTTTCCCAAATTTTAATCACAATTTTCATAATTATGCATAATATATATAATCATCATGCCTGTGCGATATTCTGTATAAAATATACTCTAGAATGCTTTGAACTGAGGCCTAACTTGACTGCCATCAGAAGCAAACCACCCAGTATAGGCTGATGTTGTTTTTGCATGTTGTTATTTACTGGTTAAACCTTCTGGGGACTCTATCCCTAGATGGCATGCTGAAGGGTTTTAGACATCGGCGCCTAGTGCTCAGATCAACGGTACTACCCCGTGGATTATCACGATTGTCTCGCTTCCTCTCTCCTCTCCTACTGTAAGGAATTCTGATATCAGTTTTATAAGGAGTGAATTATCGCCATTGTTTGGTTATTTCAACACAACGCAGACGTCTGTTGGTTAAACTTCTCTCTCTCTCTCTCTCTCTCTCTCACGCACACGCACACACACACACACACACACACACACACGGACGCACAAAAATCGTGACTCAACCTGACTTACAGTTATTTAAATTGACAGCCTTTAATGAACATTTTTTATTTAAACAGCATGTAAATCAAAATTTTCAAATTAAAACATCGTATCTTAATTGTCTTGGGGTCTTTATTAAAAACAAACATACAAACAAACAAACAAAAAGGAATTCTGTAATCCATAACATCAGGATCACGTAATTTGTTTAAACAAGGATGGCAGATATTATATAGGCAGAATTTCCAAAAATCAGAGACAGCAAAATGACCGTCTATGTATCCATTTATCTATCAGACATTTGTGAATATCTAGTGAAAAATCAATCTGTGGCCCTGGTAGAGGGTGGAAGTGATCATACAGTCGGCAATATGTCTTTGCTTTTGTTCATTTTATCCAGCATTTAACGTTTATAAAATAACGACAGTCATTTCGTTACACGGTTACTGTGAAGATACCAGTAAGGCAAATGCCATTGTGTTAATCCTTAACCAGGTCCCATAAAAAGAAATAAAAAACACGCATGAATCTGGTACGTATTAAGTCCATTATCTTGGGATAAAGCGGGCGGATTAGTTATAATCGCTCGTGCCCCTCCCCCGTCGAAGCACGCGTAAGTTAAGAATGATTTTTTATGACCCGCCCTTAGCTGGTGAGAATGACTTCTTTAAAATCCGCCCGGAGAAGAGCGATTTCACAACAGATAAAAAGATTGATACCTATTTTAAGAAAAAAATCTTCTTAATGGTCTCCACTGCACTCCTAGGCACGTGTTCTTTTATACATTTCAAACTGCATTTCAAGTTTCTCTGCATTCAATGTATTATTTCCAGGAATATTTCACATAATGACGCATCATTTTGGAATCCTCTTGATAAGGAGCAAGAATGAATGACACTGCGATAAAAGCAATATCCAATTTGGAGCAACACCCTAAACATTTCTTACCAAAGTAAGAAATTTGATTTCCGGATTAAAATTTGATCTTAATTTACAGGCAGCACGTGTACGACGGCACACTGCCCCTGAAAATAACTCATCAAGTCGCCCGTGTACTCTGCCTATGTCGTGAGGCTATGTCAAGTTCGTTTATTTACGAAAAATAATCTATTTCAAGTGAAAAATCATTACAAAAATAATATTTTAATACTTTCAGTGTTTACACTGTAATCTGTTATTTGTCTTATTTCCATTCGGGTAACCGATTCCAGCGAATGTCGTCACGAAAACGACCGAAACAACAATGCATCTGAGCTATCAATAGAATCTAGGTTATGTACAGTGAGACCACTGAAGCGTGTTAACTGAGGGTGTTAACTTCACTGCTAACTGGAGAGAGAGAGAGAGAGAGAGAGAGAGAGAGAGAGAGAAGCCGTGAGGAGGGACTTCACTCTAAAACGTGTTCAAGGCGTTTTCTTTCTGGACTGGATAGGCACGATATAGAGTTGTGTGAAACAACTGGCTGAGCTCTACGCGTAGTACGTGTTAATACGACCACGCCTTTAGTGACCAGGTAAACAGAAAGTAAACGACCTTCGATCAAAGAACTGACTAGGTCACGGGCAGCCTTCTTATCAATTTCATCAAGGAAGGACCTGGCTACCACTAAGTTCATGATATGACTCCCGCCACAAGTCGAACATGGAGGTATTTTAGTTGTTGATCGGCACGAAGTGGACATATTTAGTGTGAAACAGCCAGGCGCCACCCAACGAACGTTAATAGTTTAAGGTAAGTTCGTAGTTCAAATTCCAAAGCTCGGGGAAGCATTTCAATCGGGTCAATGATTCATGATTGAGAACAACCTTTTATAACGTAGATAAGCAGCTGGGCGACCAATGTGCCCATGTTTGCGCCAAAGCGGGGGCATAAAGTACTCGGTCGGGGGGGAAAGAAGGGGGGAAAAAGGGGGGAAAAAAAGGGGGGAAAGAGGGGGAAAGGGATAAGAAACTAACACTGGTTCAAGTCCAAGCAATGCAATTCTTTTATTTTCTTTCAATTTTTGAATTTTTTCGATTTTTTTCTGTTTTTAATACACATCATTTATAGATATTTCTCAAGATTAAAAGAATTTTATTTAAAAAACCCAATTACATACATACATACAAAGAAAAAAATAGAGATATGATTAATGCATCTTTTTAATCTTCTTTATTTCACTTTAAAAATTTCTCAATTTTTTTTGTTTAATATGCATTATTTATAAATTTTTACCAAGATTAAAAAAATTAGATATAAAAATACAAATTCAAAGATAAATATAAAAGAAAAAATAGAGATATGATTAATGCATTTTTATCCTAGAAAGCAAAATTTTTTTCCGTATTTAATACACATTATTTGTAAATTTTTTCCAAGATTAAAAAAAATAGGTCATATTTCTAGATTTCTAATAATTTTTTAAGGGATTCTGGTTTTGATAATTTTTAAGGACTGAGGATGGGGATAATACCCAAATTCATAGAAAAGAGATATTAATATAATTTGTTTTCTTAATTATTTCTGATTGCTTTTCTGTATTTTAGGACATCATTCCTGAGGATTTTCTAGAAATAAAATTAAAGAATAAATCTAGTCATGAATATAAAAAACAGAGACATGGATAATTTATATATTGTTATTATTTTTAACTTACAAAACCCCATTCAATATGAGTATCAATTTACATGACATTTAATCAACAAAACTTAAAAAACTAAACATGACAGCAATAGAGCCGTTATCATTTCTAACTTACAAAAATCCATTCAATATAAGTATCAATTTACATGACATTCACTCAACAAAACTTAAAAAAAAACTAAACATGACAGCAGTAGTGCTGTTATCATTTCTAACTTACAAAAATCCATTCAATATAAGTATCAATTTACATGACATTTAATCAACACAACTTAAAAAAACTAAACATGACAGCAGTGGTGCTGTTATTATTTCTAACTTACAAAAATCCATTCAATATAAGTATCAATTTACATGACATTTAATCAACACAACTTAAAAAAAACTAAACATGACAGCAGTGGTGCTGTTATTATTTCTAACTTACAAAAATCCATTCAATATAAGTATCAATTAACATGACATTTAATCAACACAACATAAATAAACTAAACATGACAGCAGTAGAGTTGCGAATCACCTTCTCAATTTCACAGAGATGATGTGCATCATGTTGAATGATTATGATAAACAAAGGAGTCATCGGCCATACCTAGAACAACAGTCTGTCCTGTCTGGAAGATGGACAAGTTTTATTACATTTCAGAAGTTTTCTGGGTGCAGGGTTACCTGCCGCTTCTCCTGCCCTAAACAGAATCGTGGAAGGAATATGTATAAAACTATGTGCAAATTACAGAAACCCTAGGAAGAGGGGGATGTTACTGGATGGAACAAGGTCACCTACACCTTAATCAGCCAGGCAGTCCTGGACAAAAGTTCAGAAACCCTAGAATAAATCCATTCAAGTATCAATTTACATGAAATTCAATTAACACAACTTAAAATAACCCTTAAGATGACAGCAGTAGAGCTGTTATTATTTCTAACTTACAAAAATCCAAGTGTCAATTTACATGGCATCTAATCAACACAACTTTAAGAAAAAAAAAACTAAACCTAAATCTGACAGACAATTTTCCACAATTTTTATTTATTTATATTTTTTAAAAGCACTGTTTTGTTTCATTTTTTTTCTTTTTTTTCATTAATTTTTTGAAGAGTTATTTCCCTCCAAGCTTCGTATGACAAAGCACTGTTAGGGCAGTGCCAATACCCCTTCAGTTGCCTGTGCCCAGTCTCCTTTCGCCGAGGTTGGCCACAGGAACTGCAGGCAAAAAAATCCTTTTTCATTTTGTATCTGCCCACAGTTCCCTCCTCCTCTTGTGCCTTCCTTTTTTTTTGGTACCATGAGGTCGACTTGGGCACAGCAAAAGATGGTTGAATACTGAGGGGCATGGCACTCCCTTTTTTTGCCCTGGTTGGGGTGACCTCCTGGCCAGCTCTGTTTTCTACCAGAGACACTCCCATCTCCACCAGGCCATGCGGGAGGGAGGTTTGCACTGGCTTGGGGCGTGCCTCTGGGAGATCTGGTGTAGTTGACAGCTTGGCCCCAGGGAGAGTGGCACCAAGTAGCAGCTGTGTCACATCTTGACGTCTCTCCCTTTGGTGATACCTGAAGCCAGTAAACAGTCATATGTTCAATTGACAATTGCAACCATTTTTTTCAGTTTGTTTCAATATCAATGCAAACCTCACTATTTCTGTATGGTACTCAATGGAATTGTAATAAGAAGTTTTCCTACATACATATTTTACATTTATTTCTAAATTTTTGATGTCATTCCTAAAACCTTTTGATCCAGATAAACAACACAGCAAAATTATATTTTCTGTATCATCATAACCAATAAAAACAAAATTCATAGGACAGATAGGTATTTTTTCTATAAGTAAAACTTGCAGATATATCTTTTCGTGTGTGTATGTAGAAAACAAAATAGATCCAATTTATTGAAAAACTACATGATCCAATAAATAGTTTGCACATAGATTCAGTATCATTTTGATCAAGATAATCAGCTCATTTACTTATATCATTTCCTTCCAGATGACAGCCCTAACAATAAGTACAAATTTAAAGCTTATTACACTTCATGCTTAAGATAAAGTCCACATCAAATTGGTAAACCTAACACTCACCAAGAACGCAAGGTGGCATTGTTGATGGGTGGCAGCACTAAATTGGTGCGCTCCATTAGGTGACCATTGCCCAGGACTGCCTGGCTGATTAAGGTGTAGGTGTCTACGACCTTATTCCATCCAGTAACATCCCCTCTCTTCCTAGGGTTTCTGAACTTGGCACAAAGTTTTATACACAGTGCCTCCACAATTCTGTTGATGGCAGGAGAAGCTGCAGGTACCCCTGCACCCAGAAAACTTCTGAAATGTAATAAAACTTGTCCATCACATTTTTGAAGATGGCCATGATTATTCTTCATCCAACAGGCTGGAAACATTTTTTTTTTACAATTCTATGAGTTCTATACTAAGACCTTGTCATTGTGGTTGCTATAGATTATTTTCCAAAAAGTAATGAAAGTTTACCTTCTTGTTCTCTCCACATCTGGAGACACAGTGGATTTGGACTTCCCCTTTTTGAATCTTCCAGACAGGGCAGACTGTTGCTCTATGTATGGCCGAGGAGTCCTTTGTTTATCATAATCATCCAGGTCATCATACAACATGATGCACGTCATTACATCGTCAGGGGTGAGAGACATCTCTGTGAAATTGAGAAGGTGATTCGTCAGCCTGTCCACCTTGTCCCAACCCGGAATCCCTCTCCAGTCCACACTTGACTTTTATCAAAAGAAAAAATAAATCATTATACATCATCATCAAAAGTGATAAGGAATCATTTTGTTAAGACTGTTTAGTAACAAGCTAAGGTTAACTCCATAACAGTATGCAACTTGTATTCATGTATGCCTGTCTAAAAACACATAGATGTCATCAGTTCAATATGTCAGCTGCTGATGCTTTACCAAAATTTTGTGTGTCATGAAGTGAATTATTATTATAATATTTCATTTAATTCCATTTGCATAACCTAACAACTGTTTCAAATTAATATACAAAGAATATTGAAAGATAGCACTGTAGGCAAAGCAAAACAGTTATATTATCTATTCGTACCAAGAGACTAGACGGGCTTTCCTGTTCTTCCTCTGGGAGACTAGACCGGCTTTCCTGTTCTTCCTCCGGGATGGGAAACTGAAGGATTAAAAAATAAACATTTGTTGACCTAAATTATCTTGATATTATTTCAATGTCTATTTGTTGGAAAACACCATTTTTTTAGTGCAGCTTTCATATACCAAGACAGCTTGATAAGATTTTTTTTCACAAAAAAAATTAGTTGGGTAACTGTTAACAAAAGAAGTTGTATTTATCTATTCTTACCAAGAGACTAGACCGGTTTTCCTGTTCTTCCTCCGGGATGGGAAACTGAAGGATTAAAAAAAACACTGTGTTATCAAGCTAAATATAATTTCAAATGCTATCTAGTGGGACAGAACCACATAATGTTGCAATTATAAATCAAAAGACTTTGAAAAGATATTCTTATCAAAACATTTCTTTAAGTTAAGTAACTATTAACTAAATGGACAAACTATGTTTATGTATTTTTACCAAGAGACTTGATTGTTGTTCCTCTTCTTTTTCATACTGGGTCTCTTCTTCCGGAATGGGAAACTGGATTTAAGGTGAACACTTTGTGATCAAGCTAAACAGCTTACTATGATATTAATATCTGTTTCAAATTGATAGAAAATTAAACATTAATTTAAATTTTGATCATATTTTTTACTAATATACAAAGAATCATTATCTCTTATTAGAAATTAAAACATAAAACATACATTATTCCAGGAGAGAAAAAAAAAATCCAGTAAGTTACCAGTCTTTCGCCAGCTGAGAGCTTTCCTTCTGCTTCCTGGACATCTAATCTTGTTGACTGAAAGAAAAGATATTAAACAAATTAACAAAAATATTTTAAACGTAACCTCTATGCAACTGAACTTGTGCTAATATTTCAAAAATCAGACCTAGAAATGACTGACCCTAAAAAAAGATAATTAAAATTCCACACCCAGTACACTGAATGTAAAGAAATCAGATGTCTTTCTTAATGAAAAGACTTGCTTGCAAATATTTCTTTTAATATTTAGTGTTTATCAATATTGATCAATCAGCAAGTCAACCAAAAAAACTGCAACAGGTACGTGGCCAAGTTAAAAAGAAAACACATTCATATAATAGCGAGGGTATACCTGTAAGTCTACTAGTGTAAGATCATCAGCAAAAAGAGGGTCTTCCGCCTGTAAATCTTCCATTCTCTCCTCTTCCTTTACCAGCATTTCTTTTCCAACTGAGGTCTGACCCAATAGATACTCAATGCCAATGAGTTCACCTGGGAAGACACAGAAAACAACATTTAATTTCACATTTCTGGTACTTATGTCACCCGGCCTGTTTTGAATTCTCCATCTAAACTACCCCCTTTTAAAATCTATCTCATAACCAAATTAATATCCCACACTTATTTATCAATGATTTCCCATTAAATACTAAAATAATAGTGTTTAATGTATCATAAATACAACTTTTTTACCAGTGTATTTGGCTGGGGGCTGGAAGTCCTTAATGATGTCATAACCTAGCACTGATGTGCTAAGGGCATTAAGAGTCAGTTTCATCTTGGTGTCATAACACCTTACTGGAGAAGGTGCCTCCAAGGCATCTCTGCCACGATCTATGTTCCAGCGTGCCAACCCTTCTAGCAGATACAGCTGCATATTGACATCACTGGCCCGGGTACCTGTCACATAATTAAAAAAGAAATAAGCATAAATCATATACCATTGTCAGTCTTTTTAATGATCAGTCTTTTTACTAGTTTGAATTACTCATTTAAAAGAGTGTGGACAACCATTAATGTTTCTTCTCCAATTGACAAAGTACTCATTTTGCTGATACATACAGCAAAGTGGTTTTAAAACAATAGTAGGAAGTTTTAAAACTAAGAATTAAAATAATTCTGTGTTAAGTGACAAACCTGGCACAAATCTGTTTTGGTGAAGGTGAAAAGACTCCAGGGAAGTTGATCCACGAGCACACCTGTATGTAGTCAGATCTTGACCACCTTTCCTCAGAGAACCAGTGATGGTGTACAGGGAATACCCCTCAGGGTCCTGGATGCAAGGAATATGTTTCTGCTGTGTATCCCAGATTCTTAACATCCTCTCCTTGTCAATGAGGGGAACTCCACAGGAATCTGTCATCCCTGACATTTCTTGTATGAGGTTCCTTATCATGGCTGTTGTCTCCTTGACTCCTCTTGTCTTCCGCCTGCAATGAAGGGCCAGCTCCCCTTTTGTGATGGACTTCTCCACCACAGAGTCAGTCGGATTCTTCATCCCCTGCTGGATGAGTTCCCTCCTCTTGGCTGATTTCAACTGCTGCACGTCTTGTGCTGACCACTCAAATATACAGTTTGAGAGGCTTCTTAGAAATGGTGCATACAGTGGGTGGTTGTCAGTCATGCACCCAACTGCAAATCTGCGCATGAAATGCCAGATGTCAAGCCTGACAATTGTTTTCCAAGGGCTGAAAAGCTGGTTAGAAACAAAAAATATCATAAATTTTTGGAGCAAAAGAGTCACCCAATTAAAAAGGATGTTTGAAATGATTTACATACAATATATTTTTAAAACATTATGTTAATTGCAGTAAACACATTCTGAATGATGGCCTTTTCTTAACAGTGTTATTAACATTTTGCCGATTTTTAAATCACGCAGACATTTACCTTCAAGGACTTAGGTACTCCTGATGCCGAGCAGCAGTCTCTATCAACATAGAGAAGGTCAGGTGGGGGCTGCTTGGCATCCTTATACCGCTTCACCAGGCCTGCTGCCATCCTTTCTAACTTGGCTCCCTCCCCAGAAGTAAACACTGAAATCAGTATTTCCCCATTCTCATTGGCAACATTTGTTACCCAAGATGCAGAACCCTCTGCGGCACCTGCCAGTTTCTTAGTCAACTGAAAAGAAAATTAAGAAGAAATAAGTAGATGATACAAAGCTGCATTTTCTATCAAGGATCCATAGTTGTGTATAAGGGATATGCAGTTCAGTAATGATGAAGAAATTGAAAGATGACAATAAGTAAATGTTGTGAAAAAAAGTTCCCTTATGACAAAAAGGTATGCAGGAGTTAAATTAAACAGGAAGAATCTGGGAATGAGGGTATCACTTTTTGCGACATAAATTTTAGCACTGCATACAGATGTTTTACCTTTTTGGTGGAATCCATTTTGAGCACACGCCCAAACACTGATGTCAGCTGCCCCTTTACATACTCAATCCTGTCAAGGGCATCATTCCTCAAACAGGTCACTAACCAGCGGGCATCATGCATCTGAGGGGGTGGTGGAAGAGGACCATAAGCAGCTGGCCTAGCATACTGCAAGATCCCTGTTGTGGCCAAACTAATGTGCTGCTGGCAGTCACTAAGGTACATGATGGCCTTCCTCATCCATTCTTCAGAGTGGAGCTCTTGAAGGGTGTTCTGTAGTTGATTAGAACTGTTTCCCAGGGTCCGCGATCTCAGAAGTTTGACAACCTTTTTGTCAATGGCCAGCTTCTGGGTCAAAATAGCTGGAAAAATCAATCGATGCCCTTCATCCAACTGGCTCAGGATAACATCTGACCACCCCATGGTGGTCATGTGGGGGATACACCGTACACATTCAAAATACTCAGTCATCAAATAATATTTACAATCCACATCAACCACTTCTCGCAGCCTGTTGTAAATGCCCTTTCTGGTGAGCCTACTGCCGCAGCGGTTGCACTTAAGTGGGATCTGGAACATTCGCCCCGGTGACCAAACAAACATCTTTTGCAAAAAGTATGAGTCAGGATTAGGTGCACCGTAATTTCCGGGTGACAGAAGACGAGGCTGTGGTGGGTGCTGCCAACAGTCTAGTTGATCAATTCTGATCACACCCGTGGATGTGTACAACCTGTCAGATATCCACCCCATATCTCTGGCAGCCATAACGTTTTTCCAGTACTTGGGAAGAAAGTGCTCCTTGCTTGTTGTCTGAGCCTGTTGATGTAAAATATCTTCATACATTTTGAGAGAAAGCAAAAGTAATGTGCAGTCTTAAGAAAAAATTAACAAAAGCTTATTTGGAAAATTGCATTCAGGGTATATTATATAGTTATAACCATTGTTACCAAGTTAATTCTTTTAAAATTGATTAATGTTACTTAATAATAAGATGAAAACTCCAGAAAAATACACTACACATGTTTCCTATGGTTAAAAAATGCTTTAACTTTTTTCTTATAGAATAAGTACATACTCTTTCAAGTTCAATTGTGGGTCTTAGGGGAGGTTCTGCTGAAGGGAGGATTTCTCTAGGCAGATCCTAAAAAAAAAATTAAAATTAAAAATACAATTCGATTTACAAGAAGGCTAGTGCCACATGGGAATGGATGCAAGCTTTTTCACAAGCTAAAATAAAAATTCACTAAGGTGTGATTTTTTAATGCAAAGTTTACAATGTTCTATAACTCTTAAAACTATGCTGATTTTCAAGAATATTTCAAAAGTAAACTGCTTTGAGCAATGCTAACCTGATATCTCACAATTCTTAAACTACAAAAGCAGGGGATGAGGAATGATTCTAAAGAAGACTTTGCTATTCAACCTTCAAACCACTTGGCTGATTTTAAACTAGTTATTTCCATTTACCTCAGCAATGCAAGAACTTCCTGTGCTGACACCTGGGGCATCTCGACCAGACTGAAGGAAAAAACTTATAATCTATAGAAAAAAGAATTTCAAACTAAAATGAAAGAGCAATGCTACAAGAATATATCTTACAACACCGTATCCTAGAAAATCAGGTAAACTCCTATAATAAGTAGCACTGTGCTTCTAANCATGCTATCTGGGTACTGCCGCAGCGGTTGCACTTAAGTGGGATCTGGATCATTCACCCCGGTGACCAAACAAACATCTTTTGCAAAAAGTATGAGTCAGGATTAGGTGCACCGTAATTTCCGGGTGACAGAAGACGAGGCTGTGGTGGGTGCTGCCAACAGTCTAGTTGATCAATTCTGATCACACCCGTGGATGTGTACAACCTGTCAGATATCCACCCCATATCTCTGGCAGCCATAACGTTTTTCCAGTACTTGGGAAGAAAGTGCTCCTTGCTTGTTGTCTGAGCCTGTTGATGTAAAATATCTTCATACATTTTGAGAGAAAGCAAAAGTAATGTGCAGTCTCAAGAAAAAATTAACAAAAGCTTATTTGGAAAATTGCATTCAGGGTATATTATATAGTTATAACCATTGTTACCAAGTTAATTCTTTTAAAATTGATTAATGTTACTTAATAATAAGATGAAAACTCCAGAAAAATACACTACACATGTTTCCTATGGTTAAAAAATGCTTTAACTTTTTTCTTATAGAATAAGTACATACTCTTTCAAGTTCAATTGTGGGTCTTAGGGGAGGTTCTGCTGAAGGGGGGATTTCTCTAGGCAGATCCTAAAAAAAAAATGAAAATTAAAAATACAATTCGATTTACAAGAAGGCTAGTGCCACATGGGAATGGATGCAAGCTTTTTCACAAGCTAAAATAAAAATTCACTTCGGTGTGATTTTTTAATGCAAAGTTTACAATGTTCTATAACTCTTAAAACTATGCTGATTTTCAAGAATATTTCAAAAGTAAACTGCTTTGAGCAATGCTAACCTGATATCTCACAATTCTTAAACTACAAAAGCAGGGGATGAGGAATGATTCTAAAGAAGACTTTGCTATTCAACCTTCAAACCACTTGGCTGATTTTAAACTAGTTATTTCCATTTACCTCAGCAATGCAAGAACTTCCTGTGCTGACACCTGGGGCATCTCGACCAGACTGAAGGAAAAAACTTATAATCTATAGAAAAAATAATTTCAAACTAAAATGAAAGAGCAATGCTACAAGAATATATCTTACAACACCGTATCCTAGAAAATCAGGTAAACTCCTATAATAAGTAGCACTGTGCTTCTAATCATCTTCGTCTTAAATGTTGATAAACTTAGTTTATTTTAATTCAATTTACCTGTGCAACACGAGAGACTCCTGAACTGACACTTGGGACATCTCTAGGCTGTGAGCTGACATGTGGGACGTCTCGACCAGAACTGACACCTGGGACATCTCTAGGCTGTGAGCTGACATGGGGGACATCTCGGCTAGAAGTGACACCTGGGACATCTCTGGGCTGTGAACTGACATGGGGGACATCTCGGCCAGAACTGACACCTGGGACATCTCTACCAGACTGAAGTAAAAAACATATTTTATGCTTTAACATTAAACAAAAGCACAGAAGTACGTAGACATCTGACAAAATCAAACAATATTTTGTCATAGACAATGATAAATGATTTTCTGTTCTTAATTCCTCTCAGTGTACATGATATTGGTATTTCTTATTAATTATAATATTTAAAACACAAATAATAAATTTAGTGTTTAAAGAACATCATAAGTATCTGTGCTAAGACAGTATCACTTTATAAAGTCATTTTATTTTATAAGGATACCAAAATAATATTTATGGTTCCCATGGTCCATAAAACTGCCATAATTTTTTGAGGCAGAGGGATTATTGCATTAACAGAGATAATAAAACACTTAACAGACACTAAATAGCACAAGTTCTAGAAAGTCAAGCACTCAATTGCATTACCTGTTCCTCTACCACTGTAGGCTGCTCTTGTAATGCTGTTTCTTCTGGAATCTGCAGAAAATAAGTTGACAGTAAAATGGTTGAAAGTTGTTGTTTGCTTTTCAAAGTATTAGAAGTTTCTAAAGGAATAATACATGTAGTTACATCTGAAAATCTAATTTATTTAATATGAAGACAGAAACAAGGTTATAAATCAAATATCAAACAAACCATCTATGTATAAAATAATCGTCATTCATCTTACCTGTAATAATTTTCGTCTTGATGGGATATTCGGTATGGCAGCTCCACTTCTACGTCCACCAAATCTTGGAGATAAAGGTTTCCCATATTTTAGTGCTAACTGTACAGCCTTTCAAACAAAGTAAAGCAAAAAAGCATGATGAGCACCATTCCTGAATCAACTTTTTATTTATTACTTAAAATTTTTCAGCTTGCAATTTGTGAAAAAAAAAAAAGCAGAGAACTGATATTTCACTGAAGGGCACACGCAAGGAAACCGCCTATCATATAAAAAATGCTATTGAAACAGACTTACATTATTTTTGATAATGCAAGGTTTAAGTGAAAAATAGCATTTGAAACATATAATGGAAATAAGACACCATCATTCACAAAATTCAGAGGACTTGCAGATTTCCTGTAATTCCATTCCTTTGGACTTTTATTTGTTCAAACATTCTTCCCATGTCTGTAGTAGGTGTAATCATTCTTAAATCATCTACTTAATGTTAACCATATAATTACCTTTAAATAAGAACTCATTTACACTTGAGCCAACTTACCTGTGCAACTTGAGAGCTTCCTGGAGTGACACCTGGGACGTCTCGACCAGACTAAAGAAAAAAAGTATTCAATGCTTTTAACTTAAACTTAAGACCAATGTGACAAGAATATCTCATAAAACACTTTGTCCTATAAGATGATGGAGTACTTTCTCCTCTCCCTATAAGTAGCATGCCTTGTGCATCAAATTATTTTGCCAATAAACAACTCTATTTTACCTGAGCAACATAAGACCTTTCTGAACTGACACTCGGGGCATCTTTATGACTTAAACTGACATCTGGAACATCTCTGCAGCCTGAACTGGAACTTGGAACATCTCTTCGGCCTAGACTGGCACTTGGAACTTCTCTCTGGCCTGAACTGACACTTGGAACATCTCTCTGGCCTGAACTGACACTTGGAACATCTCTCTGGCCTGAACTGACACTTGGAACATCTCTACCAGACTGAAGGAAAAAACAACTTTATTTAATCCTTGGCATATGCAAGAATGCTATCTTTTTTTCTATGAAACTAAAGAATGTAACAAGACCATACTGTCCAATATTTTGGTCTATTAAATGCTATTTTTATCTTTTTCAACTTTCTATAAGTAGTACTGAGCAACTAATTTTCATTGTTAATTAACCCACAGTTAATTAAAATTATTTCATTTACCTGAGCAATAGGAGAGACTCCTGAACTTACTCTTGGGACATCTCTTCCAGACTGAAAAATTAATGATTAAATTATATTAAAATGCAATTTTAAAGTAAAATTTCATAGCAGTACTACAAGAACTTATCTCAAATTCCTTATACTAGAATATCAATGATTTATTTGTCGAAGCACCAAAATTCTAATTATTCTGCCAATAAACTAAAATTATAAAATATAACTCATTCTATTTTACCTGAGCAGCAGGTGAGCTTACTCTACTGGAACTTGGCACATCTCTTTGGCCTGAACTGGCACTTGGCACATCAGTTTGGGACTAGTTAAGTAAAAAAAAAATACTTGTTTCATTAGGTTTTACTGATAGCATGTGAAAAGTGGACATAAAAAGGAAATTTGCACAGTATTTAACGATAAGCTCAGGGCGCCATTCAAATGATTTGATTTGCAGCTCTTAAAAATATTCCTTCCTATATGCTTATTCTAATTCTCATTTATAATTCATTGTTTTATTCACACAATTGTAAAAAAAAAATTCTTGATAATTAATATATTTTAATAAAGCACTGACTGTTTTATAGTACAAGATGTTCCTATCAAACAGCAAAGTGTAATTGATTTAAATATTTGATTAAAAAAAATGTCAATATATCCTCCCAAATTCATTCTGGACCTTATTCTATAAGTTTTTTTTTACAGAAACAACAAGCACCAAAAGAAAAATATATATTCTTTTAACCTATGACAGAATCATAGGACAATTAGAAATGTTTATGAGAGGACATGACACAGATATTTTAATATTTTAAAAAATTCAGTACTTCATACTTGCTGTTATTTATTGAACGAAAGTTCATTTCAATTAAAAAAATTAACTGTTAACCATTTTTTTCAAGATATATGCCCAGATAGAGTTAACCTTAATATATTTAGAAGTGGGGGTAAATTGAGGGCCAGGTAAATTGAATGCTGTGAGACTCATTTATAGAAAACACAAAGTTACTTAGAGAATTTAAAGATATTTGGTAAAAAAGATGGAGCTAAAGAGAAGCCTATTTCAAGGAGCAATATGAATGAGACAGCTCAGTTAAGTAGGGCTTATGTTGGCTGACATCATACGACATGGAAATGTTGTCTTGGCTAGTAAGTGAATATCATATCCCATGATACTTAAACCTAACAAAATAATGAATATTAAGTCTCATTTTTTCTCTGTAGGTGTGTAAACTATATCATAAATCATGCATGTAGTCTATGAACATGTTTTACAATAAAGTTCCCAATAAAGAATTTATAATCAGTAATTATGAATGACAAGGGTTTTAATTTGGTCATTTCTCATAATTCCCTCTTCAAATGAAGATGGTGTAAAAGCATTTCGTTTAAATGATAAAGATGTTTATAATTAGACAAGACAGATGAATGGGAATGAATACTTAGACTTCCTTATGGGTTTCAAAGAGAGGGTTCTAAACTTAAAGCTTTATTGTCATCTTCTTCACACGTCCAGTAATTATAACACCATCTGGACCTCCTAACAGCACACATATTCACTAACTTGTTTTGATGTGTTCACTTTAATTGCAACTACTATTGTTATTGTTACTATAGTGGTGTAACTCTCAATCACTAAGAGGCCAGATGTTTTCAAGTAAACAAACACACCATCCCCTAATTATCAGCATAATCTCTAGCAGAGGCCGAGAACATCCTTCAAATTATCTTGTTGTTTGGCACACACCAAACCCACTATTGTCTAACTCCAGTAAGTGTCCAGTAATAATGACTCATTTGGGCATTGTTCACATGGTGTAACTTTAGGTAAACAAACACCCTGACTCTTTATTACCAGTATATCTAGTGATCTTCAGCAGAACATATTTTAAATAATCTGGCTATTTTGCACACCTCCTTACTAATAACTACTGTAGGAATCCAGTAATTGCAACTCCTATTGTTCATGTGGTGTGTCCATTACAAACTATGTGGCCAAATGTTTCCAACTAAACAAACACATATCCAAGGGATGTCTACAATTATTTAACCATGTGTTAATTTTGCACAATTACATAAAATTTTTAATCAATTGTGAGCTCTATAAATGTATTACAGAAGACCTTTTAAACCTTACAATTCAAATAGAACATTTTTAGGCTTTTAATGACTATGGAAAGTTTATATTTCTTATGAAAATGATCAAATACAATTTAATACAGCAAAAAAGTACACACAATGATGTGGAGAAGAATGATGAAAGTTTTATAAAGAATATCCTTTTTATGTGTTTTATTGATAGGTAATATATTTTAAAGAACTTTTATTAATTTTCAATGTACTATCACAGGTTTAAGCTTCTCATAACTCTTAGAAGGGTGGGATTTATTTTTAAATGTGAGATGTAAATAAAATTATTATTATTATTACCGCTATAATAAAACATTAACTTTACACTAAAAACCTCACATGAAAAAAAAAACATAATTTGTTACATCTTCAAGTTAGTGGTGATAGCCAAAATGTGTGTACATATTAAAATATACTTCAAAAATATGTTCTTGGTGTAGCCAAAGGATAGGACTGTGAAAAGATATGTGGTTTATTACAACCATCTACAAAATCAAGAGTTTGGAAGTTGAAATTAACTCCATATGCCTATTACTGTTAAACTTTGAACCTTTCACATGACCAAAACTAATTAGAAAAAATTTACAAAGACAACACTTCACTGGATTTCAGTTTATAAATTTTGGGGACATACTACTAAGCCACAATTGATACAAATTATCCATGAGCCCCGTTGTTTTAAAAAAGGCATTTTTCATAAAAAACAATAAGTTAAAAAGCAGTCTTACTTATTGGAACAAATGTATGAGGACATCTCTTTGAAGTTAGCTGGTCTAACTGAATGGAATATGCCACTAGATTGAAATCTGCTCAACAGAATTAACTGTAATTGATAATATTAAGAAGGAGTTTAAGTCTTTTAGGGACATATAATGTGAGAATAAAATGTAGTCATTTTTTAAATTTTTTGGTTGTTTTAAAATTTGATAATTATGTTTCTAAGTACTTTTCTTTAAATGGAAAGTTTACTGAACAATTTATAATGGATATTTGAATGAATGTAGTTTTTTAGTAAACTATAAAGTTTTGAACA